GGGCCACAGGGGTTGATAAGAGTAAGACCAGAAGAGAGCAGGAGGCCTGAGGAATGGGCGGGGCCAGCCAGGTGCTGGCGGCCTTGCTGCCTCAGGAAGGGCAAAGATGGGTGTGGCACTCCTTCCTGGGGAAACTCGCTTCTCTTGTTGAATAACACCACAGCCCGGGCTGAGCTGTGGCACTGGTTGTGAGCAGGTGGAAGCGGAGCGGAATGCCCAGAGTGAAGCCCAACGTGTCCACACGAAGTTTGGTTCCTTCCTACCTTTGAGGAAGGAACGGGGAGTCACACGCAGTTCCTGATGCCGGCACCCTAGCCTTGGAACATCACCACGCTATGGGGACAGAGGCTTGTTCTGGGGGCCCGGGTCTGCGGTGGAGGAGAGCCTGCGAGTAGGGGGGCACAGGGGTGCTGCTGGTGTTGCCCTGTGGCCCTGATGATGGCTGTGGTGACTGTGATGAAGGGGAGGTGGGGAGAGGGGAACTCTCCAGAAGGTTTTCTAGGTGAGGTGACGGGGATCTGGTGTGTGGCTCTGGCGTCTGCGCCAGCCTCACTGTGAGCACGCTCGTGCCACAGGTGTAGGACACAGGCCTAGCAACATGTCTTATCATCTTTGTCAGTTGGCACAGAAGATGCTTGGGGACTTGGGTTCACCCCAGGGTAAAAGCACCCAAGGTGTCGCCTTTGCATGTCATTTCCCATATGTGTCTCCTGTGGCTTCTCCTTCTTCACTCAACCCCATAAATAAGTAAATAAATGAAAGCTGTGTGTTATGCCAGTTCTGGGGCTTGAACTCACAGCCTAGGTGCTGTCCCTGAGCTTTTTCCTCTCAGAGCTAGTACTCTACCACTTGAGCCACATCTGTACTTCTGGCTTTTTGTGGTTAACTGGAGATCGGAGTCTTATGGGATTTTCCTGCTCAGGCTGGCTTTGAACTATGATCCTCAGATTTCAGTTTCCTGATTAGCTAGGATTTTAGGCATCTGGCCAAAGCTGCACATCTTTCTTGTTGCATAGTAGATGAACTGGCTGGTGCTTGAAACAGATAGGACTTGTTCATGGAATGCTCACAGTCCTTTTGTACATTTGCACCAATAGAGATTAGGAGGCTGAATCTGTAAGCTTGCCTTCTGCCTGCTCGCCTCACTTATTGAACTTTGATTATGTGCCAGGCCTTCTGTGAAGTTCACAAAAAAGACATCAATGCCTGTTTCAGATATATTCTAGAAAAGTAGAGTGAGAAAAAGAAGTGAATGGTGCCCCCTGGCAGGAGGTGTGGGCAGTTAGCAAGGTCCCCCTCCCCCACCCCCTCCCTGAGGAGGATGAGAGGAGTCGCTCAGGTTTTGGCTCCTGGACTCCTGAGTAGGGGTCCAGCGTCACCAGGGTAAATGGGCGATCACCAGTCTGCTCATGAGTTCCAAACCTGCTCTTTTGTCCTGTGCAGAGTGGAGATGTCCTCCCAGAGGTTAACTTCTAACAGAACCTCCCAGCCACAGGCATCACATTCTGATTACACCTGGGAGTATGAATATTACGAAATCGGGCCAGTTTCCTTTGAAGGACTGAAGGCTCATAAATGTAAGTCTCGTGTAACTCTCCACTGTAAGCATGTGGTGTATTTGTCTTTACCTGTGAAATACCCATGGGTTATGTTTCCTGAAAATTCCACCTTCTTACATAATTGTTTTCTACCCACAAAACACCCATTCCACACATGGAGAGATTGCTCACTCTGGGGACCTCATTCTGATTCATGCAGAGATGTAAAATTCAGATCAAGCCTCTTTTTTTTTTTGCATGAATGAGTCCAGGTACCCCAAAGTATAACTGTTTGGATTACCAGAAATATATGCAACATGGACTCTGGAGGTTATTATGTGGGGACTTTTCTTTTGCAACAGCCCATAGGCAATGGTATTGTTCACACACACTTGGTTTTCTAGGCCTGTGAAGCACAGTGTGTGTCTTCACTGGGATCAGCCAGCCTCTGTTCTGAACTCCAGTGTGTTTTGTGTTATGCAGATGGTTAACGATCTGACACAAGGACAAGAAGTGCACGGCCATGGAAGGGACTCTCATCAAAACTGGAGGGACAAAGGGTGAACACATGCAGCAGTGATACTCACTAGATACCATGTGGAAAATGAACTATACAACTTGTGGGTGGGAATGGGAGCTAAAATCTGGGAGGCAGTGAAGGAAGGGGTAACACTGTTCAAAAAGAAATACGCTCTTCATCTGACTTATGTGACTGTAACCTCTCTGTCCATCACCTTTATAATAACTATGAAAAAGTTAAAAATAAGATAAAAAATAAAACGTAGTGCTGGCTACCAGCAGAAGTGGGTTCATTGTATAGAGCAGAGCTGAGGTGATGGGCTGGGTCTGCTGCCCTCTCCCAGGTCCTGTCTGCTTAACAAATGCACATATATATGTATATATGTGTGTATATATATATATATATATATATATCAAAGAGTTTAAGTTCCTTTCCTTTCCTTTATTCTATTTTTTCTGATAGTGACCCAGGCTGGCCTCCAACTTGCCTTCCTCCTACCTCAGCCTCCCACACACTGGAATTATAGATCTGTGTCATCATGGCCATTTGTCAGGTTTGTTGGTTTTTGTCCGTGCTGGAGACTGAACTCTGAGCTTCATGCTTACTGGGTGCATGCTCTCTCAACCTGAGCCAAGCCTGCCTGCAGTCCCTTTTCCCATTGGTTGTTTCCGATGTCCATTCTCTCACCTTTTTTTTTTTTTAATGCCCAGGGCCAGCCTGAGAGGTGATCCTCCTCTCTGTGTTTCTCATGTCACTGGGGCCCGCAGGGGCACACACAACCCAGCAGTCACTCCCTCATCGCTGAGACAGCAGGAGGCACTACTGTGCCGAGTCGTTGGCTGAGAACTTCTCTACTCTGGCTGGCCACTAACCACGATCCTTCAACCTTCTGCCTTCCAAACAGCTAGAAGTACAGGCTGTGGGTAGCTAGAATTACAGGCTGTGGGTAGCTTAAATGATCCAAATGAATGTGACACATCAGGAAGCCCAAGGGAGATTAGAACCAGAAGCACAATGGAGCAAAGGAAAAGCTTTCCCTCCCTCACTATGACCTGTGTGCATCAATGACCCGTTATACCCATGCGCTGCAAGGAAGGCTAGCTAGGATTTTTTTCCCCCTTGAGAAAAAAAGTCATTGCCTTTCATATATCTTTTGTGCCTCAAGTAATAATTAAATGATTTTTCTCAGTCTTTGGGTAACATTTTCTCCATATTTATGGAGGAAAAAGGAGATGAACTCGTTAGGACAGGCTGTCATTAATTATTTGATGGAAGCGTGGGAGTGAAATCATTGGGCTGGGAGCGAAATCACTGCTCTAAATTCACATGGATTGGCAGTCTGTGTTTTTTTCAGGGATGACCTCCAATAAGGACACTTGTTTGTTATAAGTTATGGCAGAAATCAAAATGCCTGGGTGAACCATTGCATTGTGCCCTCTGACAGGATCTGTGGCCCAGCTCCATGCCAGTGCGCTTCTGTTTGCCCCAGCTTCATGCCAGCTTGCCTCTGTCTCTTTTCTTTAGTTTTGAGGAGGCCTGAAGATAGTCCTACTGCTGTAATTTTGTTGATGCATTTCTAGAAACAACTGTAGAAGATCTTTTTTGCCCATAGTATATTGTAAACATGACTGCAGCTTGAAATAAATCTCTATGAAACTTAGAGCTGTGACACATTAGATACTTATTTCACTGAATATACCATTAGTGGAAATTTGTTTTAGTATGTACATCACAAAGATACAAAACTGTTCAAGTGAGAAGCTACTGTGTGTTCTGCTGTAAGAGATCTGTGAAAGATACTTCACGTCCGGGACTCACTTGTGTGAGCTAGAGCTGTGAAATGGAAGCAAAATCCCACCATATTCAGGAAAGTAAAAAGATTAAGTCAACTCTTGCAGTGGGTGGGGTGCCAGGGGCTCACACCTGTAATCCTAGCTACTCAGGAGGCTGAGATATGAAGATTATGGGTTAAAGCCATCCTGGACAGGAAAGTGCATGAGGCTGGAACTAGTAGACATGGAGAGATCTCTGAAGGACTTCCTACAAAGGGAAGGAAAGCCGTGAGCCTCAAGGAAGGGCTTGGCTCGGGGGAGACAGTGGGTTTGTTCTCAAAGAACAAAAGCCCAGAGTGGCTGACCAGACACTCACACTTTAGTGGGGTATAACAGGAAGCCGGCTTATTCTGAGCTACCAGTGGCAGGCTAACCTCATACTTCACTCATACGCTAACCTGAGGATGTCCCTCATGGGTGGTCAGCCAGAAGCTGTCCACAGGGCAGGTGCAGCCACTGGGGGAGAGGTGGGGGGGGAGGTCAGTTGGCCCAAAGTGAGAGATCAGGGCCAAGAGGCCCCGCTGAGGGACACCCATCCATCACTGTGGTTGCTGGGTGAGGACCCTGCCAGCTCTGCTGTCCTGACCCTGTGGGAGAGGTCATTGGTCATACTCTTTTCTTGATTCTTTGGAGGAATGGCAAAGAGCAAACCTGGAGAGGAAGTGCATGCTAGATTTCAGCTCTCTTGTTTCAGGCCATCCATTATAAGTCTGGTTAAGGGGAAGGGTTTTGATTTTGTTTTTGTTTTGTGCTGGTACCGGGGCTTGAACTCAGGGCCTTTTGTTCTTGCTTGGTTTTTAGCTGATACTCTACCACTTGAGTTAGAGCTCTATTTCCTGCTTTGGGATGGTTAATTGGAGATAAGAGTCTCATGGACATTCCTGCCCTGGCTGGCTTTGGAATCTGATTCTCAGGTCTCAGCCTTCTAAGCAGCTAGGGTTACAGGCATGGTTCATCACCAGAGCCTGTGTGAGGGAAATATTTGTATTATATTCCACTGGGAAGTGTCCCGGGCCATTTGTTCACACAGCCCAGAGGCGTATGACAGAGTGTGGCTACTTGGCTCCAGCTTCTCCTAAATCACACTGGGCCCAGTGACACTTGTGTCCACCAAACATGGCAGGAAAATAAAACTTCAAGAGAAGTTAGATGTTCTTGGGTGGAGAGAGTGCTCTCTAGTGTTCCTGGGAGAAGTTCAGGGTGGGAAAGTAACCTGGGGTCTGTCGCATGCTCAGGACTAGGGTAAGGGGAAGCTCCTGCAAATAATCAGAGGAAGCAGAATTCCATTTGAAAGGGATTATGAAGAAGAGCTAGGTAAGGCCGGCTGTCATGGGAAACACGGTTGTCACATCAGCAGGGCAACACTTGGAAATGGCATTGGGTTGGGGATCTCCGGTCTTACAACTCTGTCTCCCACTCTGCCACATTATTTCTCGGAAGGCTGTGGGCCTCCCAGGCCCCCCGCTTCTGCTGCTTTGTGTCAGCTCCCCAAGGCACAAGACCAGGGAAGGAAGGCCCTGGGCTGCATCACTGGCAGCCCTCCTCTGTCTCCTCTCGGATTTGCTTTCCTCTGAAGCAGCTGATCAGGCACAGTGTCTGGAACAGTTACTAACTCGTCAACATTTCTTCACAGTCAGGCAGACCTGGGAGATTCCGTCATTCCACGTTAGTTACACTTGAGGACATGTGTGCTTGGTACTTGTCCTTATGTCTTCCTTTATGCCTCATTGCCATTATTTTACAAAGCAACATCTGAAGAAGTTGCTATTCCTTTAGCACTTATAGTTAGATGTTGGAACAGTACATTAACTTTTGCATCCAGAGTGTTTGACAATGTTAACTGCAGCAGGATGTGCAGCATAAAAATAAGAATTATGGGGCTGGGAAGGTGGCTCAGTGGTAGAGCGCTTGCCTTGCATGCCTGAGGCCCTGGGTTTGATTCCTCAGCACCACATAAGAAAAAAGCCGGAAGTGGCACTGTGGCTCAAATGGTAGAGTGCTAGCCTTGAGCTGAAGAGCTGAGGGACAGCATCCAGGCCCTGAGTTCAGGCCCCACGACCAGACCCCCCCCAAAAAAAAATTATGCAGAGCAAATGGCTATTTCTCCTTTTTACAAAAGCAAATTGTATAATGTAGACATAATTTAATTAAAATAATGTTTTACATGTAAGCCCAATTAATATACAAGTTTTATTTATTTATTTAGGGCCATAACTGGGGCTTGAACTCAGGGCCTGGGTGCTGTCTATGAGCTCTTTTGCTCAAGGCTAGTGCCTACCACTTGGAGCCACAGTGCCACTTCCAGTTTTTGAGTGGTTAATTGGAGATAAGAGCTCACAGGGACTTTTCTTCCTGGGGTGGCTTCAAACTGTGATCATCAGATCTCAGCCTCCTGAGTAGGTAGGATTACAGGAGTGAGCCACTGGTGCTTGGCCTTACATAACTTCTTAATCCTTATCAGAAAAGGTATGACAGGATGAATAAATACAACAGTGGTGCTCATGAGACACTGTGGAAAATGAACTGGATATCTTGTGGGTAGGGATAGAAGGGAAAAACTGGGAGAGAGTAAGGGAAGAGGAGACATGGTTCAAAAAGAAATGTACTCATTACTCACTACTTGATTCATGAAACTGTAGCCCTTCTGCATATCAACTCTGCAATAACAATAAAAAATGTCTATCAGACTGTACCATTTGATCCACTACTGATTTCAACCTTACCTACATAGATCTTAATTTCAAATAATTGGACAAGTAAATTCAAAGAGTCTTTGAAGTAATTTCTGCTCAATTGTAATGAGATATATTAAAATGATAGAATCAAGGATGCTTATAGTGTTGATTAATGGTGTTAGAGTAGATGGGACCTAAAAATCTTACTGGGAAAATAAATTATCCATCAGTCATACTTTAATAGTGAAATAAAAATATTTCATTGGAGCAGGGCACGGGTGGCTCATATTTGTAATCCTAGCTACTCAGGAGACTGAGACCTGAGCCAGGTGGGCCAGGAAAGTCCATGAGACTCTTATTGACATTAAACCACTCAGAAAAAACTTGAAGGAGTGCTGTGGTTCAAATTGTAGAGAGCTATCCTTGAGCAAAAGAAGCTCAGAGACAGTGCTTAGGCCCTGAGTTCAAGCCCCCAGGACCATGTGGGTGCCACTGGTGATACACTGATACCACTATTGTTTGCTTTGCAGATTCCATCGTGATCGGGTTCTGGGTTGGCCTTGCAGTCTTTGTGATTTTCATGTTTTTTGTGCTCACTTTGCTGACCAAGACGGGCGCCCCACACCAAGAGTAAGTCTGGGCTGCACCTAAATGTCTCATGCTCCATAGTGACCTAAAGAAACAGCACTGGTACCATGGCTGGTTGTTGCCTATGCATGGAGAGACTTGGCAGTGTGTGGTTTGTGGCCGGGGCCCAGGTGCCAGGAGTGGGGATCATGTTATGGCTCTTACTAGGCAGGTGCTCTCCACTAGATCCACGCTCATAGCCCTTGAAGCTTTGAGGCTATGTCTGGGATAGTCTCATGTGTTTTACTTAGGCCAGCCTGGACCACGATCCCCCTATTTAGGCTTCCTCTACAGCTGGTCTGACAGGTGCACATATGGTGCCTGGCTCCTCCTGGCTTTTTGCCTCTTGCTTCCCTGGTGAAATTGAGCTTCCTGGTCCTTTTCTACAATGTTCATGTTGACCTGGGCTGATTTCTATATTGAAATGGTGATTTTTCTTTATTTTGAAAAGGATGTACACAGCTTGCCAGATTCAAAGTAGAGGAAAAAAGAATGCAAAATGAGCAGCGGAATAGCTGTCAGTAAGTACTCAGCTAAACTACTTACCCAGATGCATTGCTGAGTTGAACTTGAATTTCCTTGATAACAGGATAAAAGGAAATCTCTTATTTAATGCTCTTAACAAGATGAAAAGCATCAACATTAGGCTTTGGACTTATGAAGGAGATTTTTTTTCATGGATTTTTGAAGTGAGCTAACATCAGATCAAAAATATCAGAAAATACCCTTTTCTCCAGTCTGTACTGGGAGAGGGGGCGTTGAACTTGGGGCCTTGTGCTTGCTAAGCAGGCTCTCTGACACTTAAGCCATACCTTCAGTCCCCTTTTCCATTGTTTGTTATTGGGGTTTATTATTATATGTGGGCCAGCTTGGACTGTAATCTTCTACACGGGCCTCCTCTAGGATGATAGGCACACGCCAACACTCCAAGCCACGGGTTGAGATGGAGTTTCCTAAGCATCCTTTGGCTGGCCTGAACTTCATGCTGGCCTGAAACTGATTCTCCAATCTCTGCTTCCCAAGTAGCTAGGATTACAGGCTTGAGCTGCCATGCCTGCAGAAAACACTTCACAGGGATGGTTTAAAAAATATACTTCATTAAATGCAAACAAGAAAATAATGTGTCAAAGAACTTATTAGTTGGTTCTACTGAGCAACTGATAACTACTCGAGTTGGTAAGTAGAAGTGCTTTTGGTAAAGGCAGTTTCCAAGGCTCATTACACAGAGGGGCCTTTCCCACCTGCCCTGGATCTCAGGGGTGCAGCAGGCGGTCTGGCCTCAAAGTAAACCTTCTCTCTGTTCCCTCCTTCCCACGTTTCACCATTGCCCCTTGTTGGCTGAACAGGGACCAGCAGCCTGAAGCTCCATCCTAGGGCAATTTCCTAGAGCAAAGAGCAGGCAGGGAAAGTGGAGGGAGCTGGGGGAGGGACTGGAGGAGGTTGCACATGGTCCCTAACAGTTACATAACTCAAGCCCTGATGCTTGTTGCTTGGCCTTCATTCTGCCCTCGAATGATAACAAATGCTTCTGCCCAGCACTTAGACATCAAGGATTGGGGAACAATTTTCAACACAATCATTTTGAATGGTAGGAAAAGAACCACTTCCTAAGGCACAGGGGGACGGTGGCTGAGAAGCACTTCAGAAGCCATAGAAATACCCTGCCTCAGCAGGGCGCCAGTGGCTCATGCCTATCATCCTAGCTACTCAGGAGGCTGAGATCTGAGGATCTCGGTTCAAAGCCAGCCTGGGCAGGAAAGGCTGTGAGACTCTTATCTCCAAAAAACCACCAGAAAACCGAAGTGGCGGTGTGGCTCAAGTGGTAGAGTGCTAGCCTTGAGTTGAAGAGCTGAGGGTCAGCGGCCAGGCCCAGAGTTTAAGCCCTATGACCGACCAAAAAAAAAAAATACCCCTCCTCTTTTTCCCCCCATGTCCTCCAAACAGCCATATACACCTTTGCTTCTCACTGTGTGGGTTTAAGGAATTGGGGAATTTGAAGTGATTTGCAAGAGCAATGAAGAGAATGGAATGGTCAGAGAATAGTAACACTTGATGATCTCCCTGCTCCTTGGATTTCTTTTTGCAGGATCATTGAGGCACAGGATTTTATGAATAAAAACACCTTTGTACTAATAGGACATGACTTTCTGAGTCGAAACGTGTCTAGGCTGCGGCATTTAGATATTTGGTCAAACATTCTGGATGCTTCTGTGAAGGTTCTCCTTTTTCTTCATCTTTTTTAATGTCAGTGTCAGGGTTTCCAGCTTGCTAAGCAGGTGCTCTACTACTTGAGTTGTCCTCCAGTCCGGTGAAGGTAATTTTTTTAAGATCATTCTTCAAAGATATTAAATTAGCATAAACTAGTGTACTTTAAATGAAGTGTATTACTTTCTATAATGTGGGTGTCTTATCTCTTCCATTGAAGGCCTCAATAGACTTAAGACCTATCTCCCCAAACAGAATCTTCCAGAAGACCAGAACTGACAGGAAATACATTTCTGCTCTGCGTCTCTAGCCTATCGGCCTCCTCTGTAGATTTTGGACTTGCTAGCCTGCACAATGACATATCCAGTTCCTTAAAACAAATCTCTCATTACACATGCACATACATACATGCACACACACACACACACACACACACACACACACACACACACACACAGAGGCACTATCATCCAGTGAGCTCGGGGCTAGGGGTGGGAGGGGGGACCATGACTGTCCACTCCTCTCAGGTGTCATGGAGACCTTGAGACTTGCAGTTCTGGACTTGCATTTGTCCATTCGCTTTTACCCCAAGGGGATTTCTCTCTTCCGTGGCAATTCCAAACAGTGCTCAGCCACAGAATGGGGCCAGGTAACCCAGAGCTCCTCTAACAAGATGAAGTCAGAACATTTTTAATAAAATATTAGCTCATCCCCAAGGACCATGCTTGAAACGCCTCTGTGCCCAGTGTGAGATTCCACATTGGGAAGAAGGTGTCTGAGCTGGGCTGGCAGGTTATAAATCAGGAGCTCCCCAAGTCTCTGCATAGCACCAGCTGGCTCTCGCTCATCTCTATGTTGGCAGAGTTGGCAAGAGACAGCTAGAGCTATGCAGCCTCCGCTCCTCAGCCCCTGGGCTGCCTGAGACATGGCCAAAGGACGCAAGGATGCATGGGACTCAGCCTGCCTTTGCCTCAGCTTCTTCAGCAGGAAGTGGCTTCCCACAGCTCATCCATCACACCTAGCCACATTCACCCAGTCACCCTGTGCCAGGAGAGAGAATAGGTTCATGTGCAGGAGGAGAGTAGATCTGTGTGCAGTGTCAGCCATCACAAGGAAGGCAGATGGCAGGGCAGGAGAAACTTGTTACAAAGCCAGTAGCACCTTTCCCCAAAGTGGTCAAGGCCAGGAAGCACCTGCCACCCTGTGGATGCTTTGTGGGCAGTGAGTGTGAAGAGCCATCTTACCCGCACTAGGGCTCCTCATCATGCTGCTGACTCACAGGGAGAGCCATGGGAGAGGCTCAGGATGTTTCCTTATGCTGAACATTTTAACCTTCTTTCATGGAGGGGCAAGGGCAGAATGCTCGTGACCTTGGAGGAGTGAGAATCACTTTGTGCCTTGAGTTGTAAGGTTCCTGACTATGGTGCTCAGGGAAGGATGGGCATGAGCCGCCAGATCTCTGAGCAGGAAAATGTCATGGCTCAAAGTCTCTGATGACCATGGCCAGGGCCAGCTGGCCAAGGCTGGACGAGGCAAGACATCTGGCCACTCAAGATTATTCCTCCTCCTCCTTCTCGTCTTCTCTTCCTCTCTCTCCCCCTCCTTCCCCCCTCTCTCTCTGTCTCTGTCTCTTTGTCTCTGTCTCTCTCTCTGGTAGGTCATGTGGCTTGAACACAGGGCCTGGGTGCTGCCTCTGAGCTTTTCTGCTCAAGGCTAGCACTCTACCACTCTGAGCCACCGGTGGTTAATTGGAGATAAGAGTCTTATGGTCTTTCCTGCCTGGGATGGCTTTGAACCATAATCCTCTGATCTTAGCCCCCTGAGTAGCTAGGATGAGAGGTGTGAGCCATGGGTACCTGGCTGTTGTCTTTCATTCTCTATCAGTTAGAAGATGTTTATTGAGTGCCCAGCTCTGCCTTTTCTAGGGCTGTGCCATAGATCATTGGAAGGAGACAGAATCTTCTCTGTCCGGCTTAGCTCGCCTCTTTCCTAGTCAGCCAGCATTCCCACAGCCCCAGCTCGGCCAGGCTTGCTGAAGACATCTTTCTCCATGGCACGCGTCTCTCCACACAGGCTAGGGCTCTATCTATTTGTCGTGGCTGTTTTTGTACAGAAATCATCACTCATAGGTCTCTGCTTAGCTTGCACATCTTTAAACGCCTTGGGGCAATGGCTGCTGGAGATGCCAGCTGCACACCTTGTCTCCATCCTCTCAATCTAGAAAGTTCCTGGGGAACGACCAGAACATCGCTATGCTGTCCCTCTGCAGAGGGAACTGGGGGATCCAGGTCCTTGGACACTGGCAGCCTGTCTGCCCCCAGAAAAACAAATGTGGGGGTGGTTGGTGCCACTTAGTGCTCATGGTGCTGGGCAGGCGGCAGATAGATGCTCAGTGTGTGGTGGTTTGCAGAGAACACGGGCACTCTGCGTCTGGCAAGGCCTTTTGGTGAAGACTGCGCCCCTTAGTTAGAGAGAGGAAAAGGACTTGAGTGACTAAGCCAGACCCAGACAGGAAAGGGGGCGCCTGGGCTAGGGGCAAGAGGACAGACAGACTCCTTCCTCTGGGAGGGTCGCATGGGGGCGTCACAGAACAGAAAAGCTTGACTAAGACAGATGGGTGGGAAGATAGCCATGCAGAGGCTTGGAAGTGGGCACACAGCTTCTAGGTATCTGGCCTGTAGGGATGGCAAGAGCACTGGCAAGGGAGCACCCTGGAAGGACCTGGTGACAAGAGCACAGGGTCAGAGCTGGGCACCAGTGGCTCATGCTTGTAATCCTAGCGACCTAGAAGCCTGAGGTATAAAGCCAGCAGTGTAAAGCCAGCCCACGTAGAAAAGTCCCCAAGACTCTTATCAACAACTAACCAGGAAAAAACAAGCCTGAAGTAGAGCTGTGGCTCAAGTGGTAGAGTGTCAGCCTTGAGTGAAAAAAGCCAGGTGAGAGCATGAGGCCTTGACTTCAAGCCAAACAAACAAACAGACGGGATGCCTTCATTTTTCTGTCTTCCTCGAGGCCTTTCTCACCAACAAATGACAAGAAATCTCCCCCACGGCACCTGAGCTCCTGTAGCTCATATAAAGAGATCTTTACAAAAAGGAAAACACTAACTCAGATCAAGAGAACATGTCCAACTGGTGCTGTGGCTCACATCTGTAATCCCAGCTACTAAGGAGGCTGAGATTTGAGGATTGCAGTTTACTGCCATCTCTGGAGAAAAAAGTGTGTGAGACTCTTATCCCTGATTAATCACCAAAAGCTAGAAGTAGAGCAGTGGATCAAGTGATAGAATGCTAGCCTTGAGCAAAACAACTCAGGGACAGCACCCAGGCCCTGAGTTCAAGCCCCAGCATGGGTGCGTGTGCACACACACACACACACACACACACACAGAACACCTTCACAATACCTTGTACACCAAATATATCCAAACTTCTATGAGTCAGCAATAACATTGCAGTGTTTACATTGAGGAAAAGATTTAACCAGATACTTTAGGAAAGAAGAGCTGCACATACGTTTTACTAAATATCAAATAACATACTTATTTTTTTTTTCCCAATCCAGCTAGCTGAGGGCCTTTGGTAGCAGGTGCGTTGCTTAGGGTCATTACCTTGGTAACCGCAGAAAAGTGCTTCCTCTTGGAAGCCTGAAGCTCCCCCCACCCCCAGGCCCGCATCTTTCATCAGCATCAATTAGTTGTGCAAGGCTGGTTTGCCTTCCTTGTCCTTTATATGCACACCCTGTGTCTTGGTCAGGTGCAGCCTCACACCTCCTTTCTTCTCTTCTACTTGCTGCTAGCAAGCCCAATTCACAAACAAATTCACTGGATTTCAGAAGTCAGCAAATGTGGTGTGTGTGTGTGTGTGTGTGTGTGATGTTCCTGAGTCCGGATCTTACCACATATCCCAGGGTGGCCTTGAACTCCTGGCCTTCCTTCCTTAAGCTCCTTCCTGAGTCCTGGGATCACAGATGTGCTTCATCACACCTGTTCCAATTCTTGATAATGGGGATGTTGGTGACATGAATCAGACTTGCATGACCCCTAAGTCCCCTCATCCATAAGAAGGTGATCATTAGGAATTTGTACCAAGTCTAGGAATGTGGCTTAGTGGTAGCGTGCTTGCCCAGCATGTATGAAGCCCTGGGTTCAATTCCTCAATACCTCATAAACAGAAAAAGCCAGAAGTGGTGCTGTGGCTCATGGTAGAGTGCTAGCCTTGAGCACAGAGAGGCTCAGAGACAGTGCCCAGGCCCTGAGTTCAAGCTCCAGGACTGGCAAAAAAAAAAAAGCCTGAAATTTGTAGCAAGTGTTCAGGTGGGAAAGAAAAGATTTAAGAACACAATCATTGAGATTATGCATTCATTGCTCACAGACTCCAAAGCCTGCTTTTGGGAGGTCTGCTCTGCCTGTGAAAGCTTGCACTGTGCTTCTTGTACTTCGGGAACAATTTTTTTTGCTCCTTTTCTTTCCATGAGGTGCTTTTCTTTTGTAAAGGGCGGCAAGCTGGCGTGCTTGGCAGCCTACCTCTTCAGCTAAGCTCCAGTCTGGAT